TTTATTCCTTTGTCTTTGATAAGCTTATGCTCTGCCTTATGTTACTTGCTATGCTTATATCGATGCACGCTTGACTTCATTCCTTTGTCTTTTCTTTTGTTCAAAATGCTTATGTCGTAGTGTGAACAGACCCTCAGAAAGACTCGAAATTTGGACATATTAACATTCTTTCCGAAAGTAGAACTTTAATTTGACGAGTTTTGACTGATGTACATCATTTACCAATATCTAAGTGTACAGTAGATTAGTCAACTCTATTTAATCATTTACCAATGTGACGTAATCATGCCTGTCATGCGATAGGGGAATTGTTTCAGCGACAAAAATTTGCCCGGATTGTGGTTAAAGTGAGCAAAACCAAAGAAGACGAATATATCACTACTTTACTTATGTCTGCTGTAACGTCTCACCACAGTCTTGCCCATTTTTTATAATGAAAAAATAATCGCTTCAGCGGCAAAAAGAAGGCATTTTGTGATTAACGAATCACAACCAACCGCCGTACTTTGCGAGCCGAAGCGCCATTTTAGGTGGACACCAAAATGGCGGAMTCGTACGATTTATTAAAGTTAGCGCGAATCGTTTTCCCTCCTTTTGGACAGAAATACAGAAATACAGAAGTACTTCACAGGTATCAACAATCTATAATCTATTGTATGCTTGACGTATTTAAACAATAAAACGAGCGCGCGATGTATTGTGGCTAGTTGAGATTCTTTAAAATAAACATCAACGACAACAAATGGAGCCGGTTCACATTGGACAGCGACATAAGCTCAAAAACAATAGATTCAGTGATTAAGATGACAAGGTGTTTTTCTTTGTGTATTCTGTTGTCTTTAATTAGCTTATGTTTGGCCTTGTGCTTATTGTTGTGCTTATGTCAGTGAACGCCTACCTATGTCTAGTGTGACTTACTTTCTGTAGCGCCTGACAACTCTCCTGATTCTGTGAAAATTAACATTGTAATTACAATTAGCAGTGTTTAAAAATAAACTTTGACCTAATAAAAATCAATGGCGTCAGTCGATCCTTSAAAACGAGCCAGAGGCATTTTATTGACTTACCTCCTGTACCGTCTCACGACCCGCCTCCTGATTCTGTGAAAATTTAAATTGTAATTGCAATCAAG